CTGTGCTGTCTCCATATAATACCATAGCCACTAGCCACATGTGACCTTAAATTAAAATTAATTACAAGTTCAGCCCCTCAGTCTCACTAGCACATTTCAAGTGCTCAGTAGTCACATGTGACTAGTTACAACAGTACTGGACAGCACTGTAATAAATACAGATAGAGAATATTATCAATAATAATTGATAATATCAATTATCTATCTGTACATATTCTCTGTTCTCAGTATTATCAATGATATATATTGATCAATGACATATAGAGAATATAAAGATACATACAAATTAAAATATTGATATCCTTCTCATTGATATATAAAGAATATATCATTGGAGAAAGTTCTATTGGACAGTATTAGTCTAAGTGGAAGAATTGGAGAAATAAAATTCTTTCTTTGATTTCTATGAAGAGTCTTTCATCCCTATATAATTTACTGGATTAATGGACTAAGATTTTAATGTGCAAAAGAATCATCTATACAGCTTGTTTAAGTTGGAGATTTTAGAAGCCTCTCCAGAGTTGGATTCATCAGGACTGGAGTAGTAAGCAGGAAATCTGTATATATAACAAGTATCCTGGGGAATTCAGATGTTGGTAGGTAGTTCAGGGACTAAATTTTGAAAGAATATTAAATTAGTGAGAAACTTGGGAATTGCCTGTATCTTGATTTTTTTCCCCCTCCTCTTCATTCCTTCATTACTTTCTTTTGTGTCCCCAGGAATTAGTTGTAAGCATCAGTGTGTACTCAATTTGCATCCTCAGTTGGTATTAAGTAGCAAAAAGAAAATTCATTTATTTACCATTCCATCTTTTAATGTATGTGTGTTTTGATTTGGCTATGTACTAAGAAGTCAACAAAAATGGTTATTTCAGTACTATTCCAGACAGTGCCAGAAGGTAATTCTGACAGAATACTTTTGACCACTAAGAGTTAAGCACCCGCAAGTCTTGGCATTATAAGGGGGTAAGGGTATAAAAACAGAAATATACATAATCTCCTCTCTGCAGATTACAGTATTCCCCCATAGGGAATATTTTTCAAGACTCCTCATGGATGCCTGAAACCACAGATAGTACCGAACCCTATATATACTATGTTTTTTTTCCTGTACATACATACCTGTGATAAAGTTAAGTTTATAAATGAGGTATAGTAGTTAACAATAACATAATAAAATAGAATAATTATAACAGTATGCCGTAATAAAAATTATGTGAATGTGGTTTCTCAGAGTATCTTACTATACTGTACCACAGGTAACTGAAACCTTAGATAGTGAAACCATGTATAAGGGGAGACTACTGTATATCTCATTAGAAAAGTGGGTAAACACATCCAGAAAAATGACCTAAAGGGCGCTTAGCAGTAAGAAAACCATGATCTGGCTTGATTGAGAGTTGTGTAGGTTGCGTCCCTTTGTATGATTTGAGGGTTTCTTATATAAAGACATGTCTCTGCCATCTGGAATGGGCAATAAAAAAGGGAAGAATCTCTAATTTGGTCCTGCAGTATATTTTTTTATTTACAGGTTTTGGCATACATAAATAGGACTAGGCCAAAAAAAGCATCTGGAAAATTAAAGGGGCTACTCAGAGTACACTGGATTTAGAACTTTTCTGGGTTGATCTCATAATCATGAAACTGCATTTGGTCACAGAAATCAAAAGTAGAGAATAAATGGAGGTGAAAGAAATTCACTTTGAAAGAGGAACTACCTTTAGGGAATTGAATTATTTATTTATTTATTTTTATTTTTGAGACGGAGTTTTGCTCTTGTCACCCAGGCTGGAGTGCAATGGCGCAGTCTCAGCTCACTGCAACCTCCGCCTCCCAGGTTCAAGCGATTCTCCTGCCTCAGCCGAGCTGGGATTACATGCATGTGCCACCATGCCTGGCTAATTTTTTGTATTTTTAGAAGAGATGGGGTTTCTTCATGTTGGTCAGGCTGGTCTTGAACTCCCAACCTCAGGTGATCTGCCCACCTTGGCCTCTCAAAATACTGGGATTACAGGCATGAGCCACTGCACCCGGCCTTATTTATTTATTTATTTATTTACTTATTTATTTTTATTTTTGAGACAGAGTCTCACTCTGTCCCTGAGGCTGGAGTGCAATGGTGCAATCTCCACTTACTGCACTCTCTACCGCCTGGGTTCTAGCAATTTTCCTGCCTCAGCCTCACAAGTAGCTGGGACTACAGGTGCCTACCACCACGTCTGGCTAATTTTTTTTTTTTTTTTTTTTAAGTAGAGACGGGGTTTCACCATGTTGGTCAGGCTGGTCTCGAACTCCTGACCTCAGGTGATCCACCCACCTTGGACTCCCAAAGTCCTGGGATTACAGGTGTGAGCCACCACACCTGGCTTTTTTTTTTTTTTTTAAATTACATTTAAGAGATGAGGCCAGGTGTGGTGGCTCAGACCTGTAATCATAACATTTTGGGAGGCTGAGGCAGGAGGATCACTTGTGCCCCTAAGTTTAAGACCACCCTGTGCAACATATACCCCATCTTTTTTTTTTTTTTTTTTTGAGACAGAGTCTTGCTCTTGTCACCCAGGCTAGAGTGCAATGGCACAATCTCGGCTCACTGCACCCTCCACCTTCCGAATTCAAGCAATTATCCTGCCTCAGCCTCCCAAGTAGCTAAAACTACGGTGCCTGCCACCACACCTAGCTAATTTTTGCATTTTTTTTTAGTAGAGATGGGGTTTTGCCATGTTGGCCAGGCTGGTCTGGAACTCCTGACCTCATGATCTGCCTGCGCTGGCCTCTCAAAGTGCTGGGATTACAGGCGTGAGCCACTGCGCCCAGCCTCACAGACCCTATCTCTATAAAAAATAAAATTAGCTGGGCATGGTGGCATGTACCTATGGTCTCAGCTACTCTAGAGGCTGAGGTGGGAGGATTACTTGAGCACAGGAGGTAGAGGCTGCAGAAGAACACACCACTGCACTCCAGCCTGGGTGACAGAGTGAGACCCTGTCTCACAATATATAAATATATAAGTAGATAGATAGATAGATAGAGTTGATAGGTAGAAAGAGGTCTGTCTTGGCCAGGCTGGTCTTGAACTCCTGGCCTCAAGCAATCCTCCCACCTTAGCCTCCCAAAGTGTGCAAGCCACTGTGCCTAGCCTAGGGAATTTTGAGTTCTGGTATTGAGGGGAAAACGCCTTCAGAGTTTCAAAGATAATAAAAGTTTTCTTTTAAAATAGTTGTATAGCTTCTTTCCCTTGGAGAAATTGCCCATAAGTCTTCCCTGATGAACAATACTGAAGAAGCATTGTTGGGAATAGAAAAAAATAAACATGCTTAGGATGTTACCACTGTCTTAAAAAGCATTTATATATATATATATATATATATATATATATATATATATATATATAAATGGAAGATTTCTTGTTTTTTTGTTGTTATTTCGGTAGTTTGGTTAACTATTATAATACCAGTAGCCACTTACCTCTTGTCCTAAGTCAGATTTGTCCAATTCTTTACTTACCTATCCTTTCAGTAAAGAAGGTAAGTTTTCCCACCCTTACTGCAAGATACAGATGTTCTTTTCAAAAAGACAGATGTTGGTTGGGTGCAGTGGCTCACGCCTGTAATCCCAGCACTTTGGGAGGCTGAGGCGGGAGGATCACTTGAGGCTAGCTCAAGACCAGCTTGGGCAACATAGTGAGACCTGCCTCTAAAAAACAGGCTGAGCCTGGTGCCTCATGCCTGTAATCTCAGCACTTTGGGAGGCCGAGGTGGGTGGATCATTTGAGGTCAGGAGTTCAAGACCAGCCTGGCCAACGTGGTTAAAACTCATCTCTACTAAAAATACAAAACAAATTAGCCAGGCGTGGTGGCACTCACCTGTAATCCCAGTTTCCTGGGATGCTGAGGCAGGAGAATCGCTTGAACCTGGGAAGCAGAGGTTGCAACGAGGTGAAATCCTGCCACCGCACTCCAACCTGGGCAACAGAGTGAGACTCCACCTCAAAAAATAAAAATAAAATAATAAATGAATAAATAAATAAATAAAACACATATATGGCCGGGTGCGGTGGCTCACACCTGTAATCCGCACACTTTGGGTGGTTGAGGAGGGTGGATCACCTGAGGTGAGGAGTTTGAGACCAACCTGGCCAACATGGTGAAACCCTGTCTCTACTAAAAATACAAAAGTTAGCTGGGTGTGGTGATGCGCGCCTGTAACCCCAGCTACTCTGGAGGCTGAGGCAGGAGAGTCGCTTGAGCCTGGGAAGCAGAGGTTGCAGTGGGCCAAGATGGCACCACTGCACTCCAGCCTGGGCAATAAGAGTGAGACTCCGTCTCAAAACAAAACAAAAAAACCCACATATACCATGTTCCTTAGCCACGTCTCATAAAAATGATACTTTGTACTGTTGAGGACTTTCTTTTTCTTATTTTGACCTTATATCCTGATATCTCTGCTTTGCATTACATTGCAACCAACCTAAAATTGACTTTTTTTATTTGAGTCTCTTCGTCTCTCTCACTGGTATGTGAAACACCAGAAAGCAGGCGTCCCCTAACTTTTTACACAGGGGGCCAGTTCACTGTCCCTCAGACCGTTGGAGGGCCGCCACATACTGTGCTCTTCTCACTGACCACCAATGAAAGAGGTGCCCCTTCCTGAAGTGCGGCGGGGGGGGACCGGATAAATGGCCTCAGGGGGCCGCATGTGGCCCGTGAGCTGTAGTTTGGGGACGCCTGCCATAAAGTTTCAAATTTGTGCTAACCCTTCCGTATGATACTTCTTTTTAAGTAATTTAACTGTCCTGTAATTCTCCGCCTTTATACCAAATGTGCCTTTTTTTTTTTTTTTAACCTTCAAAGGAACCAATTTGGAATTGAAAATGAATGAATCTAGAGTTGAAATACCAATTGCAAGCCTTTTTGTCTTTTTTTTTTTTTTTTTTTTTTTTAGGAAAATGTTTTTTTCTGAAAATGTTTTCTTTTTCTTTTTTGGGGACTCTGTCATGCCAGGTTGAGAGAGTGGCGACTTCTATAAGACATGGATAGATGCAAACATGTAGGGCGGTTACGGCTCGCCCAGGACCACTCCATCCTGAACCCTCAGAAGTGGTGCTGCTTAGAGTGTGCCACCACCGAGTCCGTGTGGGCCTGCCTCAAGTGCTCGCACGTGGCCTGTGGCCGCTACATTGAGGACCACGCCCTGAAACACTTTGAGGAGACTGGACACCCACTAGCCATGGAAGTCTGGGATCTCTATGTGTTCTGTTACCTGTGCAAGGACTACGTGCTCAATGATAACCCAGAGGGGGACCTGAAGCTGCTGAGAAGCTCCCTCCTGGCGGTCCGGGGCCAGAAGCAGGACCTGCCGGTAAGACGCGGGCGGACGCTGCGGTCCACGGCTTCGGGCGAGGACGTGGTCCCGCCGCAGCGCACTCCTCAGGGACAGCCGCAGATGCTCACGGCTCTGTGGTACCGGCGCCAGCGCCTGCTGGCCAAGACGCTACGGCTGTGGTTCGAGAAGAGCTCCCGGGGCCAGGCGAAACTGGAGCAGCGGCGGCAGGAGGAGGCGCTGGAGCGCAAGAAGGAGGAGGCACGGCGACGGCGGCGCGAGGTGAAGCGGCGGCTGCTGGAGGAGCTGGCCAGCGCCCCTCCGCGCAAGAGTGCACGGCTGCTCCTGCATGCGCCCCGCGACGCGGGCCCGGCCGCCACGCGCTCCACTGCCTTTCCTACCTCACGCAGAGCGCCCGCCGCTGCACTCAAGCTGCGTCGCCAGCCTGCTGTGGCCCCGGGCGTCACGGGCCTGCGCAACCTGGGCAACACCTGCTACATGAACTCCATCCTCCAGGTGCTCAGCCACCTCCAGAAGTTCCGAGAATGTTTCCTCAATCTTGACCCTTCCAAAACGGAACATCTGTTTCCCAAAGCCACCAACGGGAAGACTCAGCTTTCTGGCAAGCCAACCAGCAGCTCAGCCACGGAACTGTCCTTGAGGAGTGACAGGGCCGAGGTGTGCGAGCGGGAGGGCTTCTGCTGGAACAGCGGGGCCTCCATCAGTCGGAGCCTGGAGCTCATCCAGAACAAGGAGCCGAGCTCAAAGCACATTTCCCTCTGCCGTGAACTGCACACCCTCTTCCGAGTCATGTGGTCCGGGAAGTGGGCCTTAGTGTCGCCCTTCGCTATGCTTCACTCAGTGTGGAGCCTGATCCCTGCCTTCCGCGGCTATGACCAACAGGACGCTCAGGAGTTTCTCTGTGAGCTGCTCCACAAAGTGCAGCAGGAGCTCGAGTCTGAGGGCACCACGCGCCGGATCCTCATCCCCTTCTCCCAGAGGAAGCTCACCAAACAGGTCTTAAAGGTGGTGAATACCATATTTCATGGGCAGCTGCTCAGTCAGGTATGTGTGTGCCTACCATGTTAGTGGAAGCTTGTATGTTAGCTTGGGCTTCCTGAGAATGCCTCTCCCGGGTTACTGGGCTAGTAAGAGTCGCCAACATTTGCTGTGATTATGCATTTTTGAGAGTGGTCATTTGTACCTTTCATTCTACTGTACACATGATGGCCTTATGGGGAAACTTGCCTAGTGTCTTTCCGGCCAGATTTTTAGTTTAACTTGCCACATCGCTTTATTTTCAGTGGGTATATTTAACTGTTATTGAAGGTATGGGTAATATCATATTCTCATTTACCCATTGTTGGTGTGCCATCCTTTGATCAATTTTAGGGAAAAGAGTTTGCCTGTAACCCTGGTTACATAATAGTTTGAAAGAGCAATCTCCCTTCTTTACATACAAGGAAGGAAGGTAGCTGAGAAGCATGGTAAAGGTCAATGCAAGCCTCCTTCCTGTGCCCTATTACTTTTTATCTCCTGGATCTTTAGCCATATAACCTAGGCAAAGATTCTTAGATAAGGCCTTGAGAGAATATACAGAAAGAGTATTTTTATAGTTAAAAAAGGCAAGTGTGCCGGGCATAGTGGCTCACTCCTGTAATCCCAGTGCTTCAGGAGGCCAAGGTGGGTGGATCACCTGATGTCAGGAGTTAGAGAGCAGCCTGACCAACATGGTAAAACCCTGTCTCTACTAAAAATACAAAATTAGCTGGGTGTGGTGGCACATGCCTGTAATCCCAGGTACTTGGGAGGCTGAGACAGGAAAATCACTTGTACTCAGGAGGTGGAGGTTGCAGTAAGCTGAGATTGTACCACTGCACTCCAGCCTGGGTGACAGAGGAAGACTCTGTCTCAAAAAAAAGGAGGGTGGGGTAATGGTTGGTGCGCAACTTAAGAGAATCAGGTTAAAACCTCTACCCTATGCTTCTGTCTTGGTTTTTAGGGTTTTGAAAGAATGATGAATGGGATGGAAAGGGAAAGCTTAATTAGGCTTTTGTTTTTGAGCATGTAAAAGGGGAGTATTTATCAGCACTTCTTCTGTCTCCCCTCCCCTCAGGAAGAAAGGTGCACCTGGGAAGGCTATAGTGGGAGTGGAGGTCTAATCACAGCACTTTGAGGCTCTGCAGACAGAGGGGTTCAGTGTAGGGCTTCTGCAAGAAACAAAGGTAAAAAGAGAGCCATGCTGGGCTGCATAGAAGGTCTAAGTCAAGAGGAGGAATGCGAGAGTGGGGGAAGCAGGCAGGGACCTGCAAATTCTCTATGTTAGACTGATCCCTTGAATGAATGCACAATAACTTGCAGTCTGTACCACTGTACTATTGAATGGTAGAGCATACTTGAGAGAGGAGAATAGAAAAGAGGGGTTGGTATAATCTCTATGCAGTATGGTTTTTAAATTCCAGCTAGCATCCCATAGTTAGAAATGTACATCAGAAGTAATATACTCTAATTCTTTTAAAGTTATGTTTACTATTTTAAGATTACTGTTTTTTGCAAATTATATACTTAGTTTTGATAAAGTGTGTCTTTTATGAAGTAAGTAAAACTGTATGCAGGGAGCATGGAAATTCTATAATCTGTAAATTAATCTTTTCATTCTAGGTCACATGTATATCATGCAATTACAAATCCAATACCATTGAGCCCTTTTGGGACCTGTCCCTGGAATTCCCTGAACGCTATCACTGCATAGAAAAGGGGTTTGTCCCTTTAAATCAGACAGAGTGCTTGCTCACTGAGATGCTGGCCAAGTTCACAGAGACAGAGGCCCTGGAAGGGAGAATCTACGCTTGTGACCAGTGTAACAGTGAGTGCTGTGTGGAGGAGGGGGTGTAGTGGGGAAGTATACCTGGAATATCAGTTTAAGGTGCTGCTTTGTCCCCTTTAGTCAAAAGTAACGCTAATGATATTGAATGGTTCTAAAGCATCTTTTAAGATCATTTTCTCCCGTTTTTCTAAAAACAAAAACATGGTCTTGTTTTAATTATGTATTAAAAAACAAAACAAGGCTGGGAATGGTGGCTCACACCTGTAATCCCAGCACTTTGGGAATCCAAGGCAGTTGGATACTTGAGGTCAGGAGTTTGAGGCCAGCCTGCCCAACATGGTGAAACTATGTCTCTATTAAAAATACAAAAATTAGCTGAGTGTGGTGGCGGCTGCCTGTAATCCCAGCTACTTGGGAGGTTGAGGCAGGAGAATCAACTGAATCCGGGAAGTGGAGGCTGCAGTGAGCTGCGATGGCACCATTGCACTTCAGCCTGGACAACAGAGCAAAACTCCATCTCAACAACAAAAAACAAAACAAAGACCTAGGAGATGAGTGACCTCCTAATTGACCTTAGTTGTCATCTTGGAAGGGATTTCAAAGGGAGGCTCTTGAAATGGGAACTCAGAATTTTAGTATTTAGCTTCTTAGTGCTACGGGGCTCCTGCTTAAATTCATGAATGTAGAGTCTGACAGTTCTTACTTAATCTAAACTCAGATGGTATAGCTTTTTTGAGGGGTGCCATATCAGAAAAGCATGCTTTTGGCCAGGTGTGGTAGCTCACACCTGTAATCTCAGCACTTTGGGAGGCCAAGACAGGTGGATCACCTGGGATCAGGAGTTCGAGACCAGCCTGGCCAACCCGGCAAAACCCTGTCTCTACTAAAAATACAAAAATTAGCTGGGCATGGTGGCAGGCGCCTATAATCCCAGCTACTCAGGAGGCTGAGGCAGGAGAATCACTTGAACCTGGGGCTGGGAGGTTGCAGTGAGCCGAGATTGTACCATTGCACTCCAGCCTGGGCAACAGAGTGAGACTCTGTCTCAAAAAAAGAAAAAGAAAGAAAGAAAAGCATGCCTTTGTACTGAACTAGTAGATTTAATGTCTGTCAGGAGTGATGCTAAAGATTGGTACAACAGAACCAAGAAAGCAAGCCTTCAAGTGCTTTTTCAATGGCAGCTTCATGAAATATTTTCTGCATTTGTTTTTGTATTCTTCACATGCCTAAAAAGTTCACATTTCAGAGAGGGTCATAAGGAAGTATTTCTGCGTCATGTCTGTAATTTTAAAGTGGAACTCTACATATGGTTACAGAGGCGTGTTATACAGGGCCCTCTGTCTTGCCATACTAACACTTAATGCTTCTGCTAACGCAGCATGGACAGAGGAAATGCAGGGCAAATATGTGGCTGCTCATGTTTGGGGTTTGCAGCATACATAGATTTGGAAACTAACAGTACAAAGTTAATGGATTGTGCAGAGACCTAGAAATCAATTTTCAGCCACCGAGTAGTTTAGATTACAGGTTTTGAAAAAAAAAAAATCTTAGGCCAGGCGTGGCAGGTCATGCCTATAATCCCAGCACTTTGGGAGGCCCCAAAGTGAGCAGATTGCTTTAGCCCCAGAGTTCGAGACCAGCCTAGGCAATAAGTTGAAACCCCATCTCTACAAAAAAATACAAAAATTAGCTGGATGTGGTGGCATGCACTTTTAGTCCCAGCTACTCAGAGGCTGAGGTAGGAGGATTGCTTGAGCCCCAGAAGTCAAGGCTGCAGTGACCTTGCCACTCTACTCCAGCCTGGGTGACAGACTGAGATCAGATCTCAATACACTCACACACACACACACACACACACACACACACACTCACACACACACATATTAGCATTTCTTAATATATTTCACACATGATTTTAAAAATAGTAAATTGTGTGAAACCTGTTCTGCTCTTTGAAGAATCAGAACAAAAATCAAAAGTCAGGCTTGAGGCTAGGTGCGTAGCTCACACCTGTAATCCCAATACTTTGGGAAGCTAAGGCATGAGGGTTGCCTGATGCCAGGAGTTTGAGAGCAGCCTGGGTAGCATAGCAAGACCTTGTTTAGGGAACACACACACACACACACACACACACACAGTTATGCTAGATATCATTTTGCCATTTGAAAACAAAATTTGAAATTTTATACCTGGTTAACCGTAGACTCACCTATTCGGTTCCATTTTGAGATACAGAGTCAGGTGAATCAAATTGTTTCATTAGAGTAATTTAAAAAAAAAAAAAATAGTGATTCATGAAGCCTTTTACTTGTAAGGAACAAAAGAATATTAACAGCTTTAACTCCATCATTTTTTGATATGATAGATTAGGCAAGAAACACTTTTGTTTATTTTTACAAGAAAGGATTGTTCTTCTGGTTGTCAGATGTGCCAATTTATTAGGATTTCTCTAGGCAAGAGCAAATAATGCCAGAGAAGGAAACCTATGGGGAAAGGATGAGATGCATTGATCTGTTGCCTGTGAAGTTTCAGAACTGTCAGTCTTCTACCTGTCTTCCTGGCCAGCTTAATCAAATGGAGACAGAACTGATCAATCTCAATTGAATCAGTAATTTCTTTTTCTTTGTGAATTTCATTTTAGGGAAACAAAGACTAGCTATATTGTCTTCATCTTAGCTCACTTACTCCCTCTGCTGAGTGTGGCAGTCACTGCCAGGGTTCCTAGCCAGAGCTGCAGTAATTTTCAAAAAAAATGGTGAATTGGAATATAAAATAACACCAAGCCCCTCTTTGAATTATATATCTGTTCATGCCCCCACATGTTGTGACTGCACACCCTGGTAAAAGCTTCTCCTATGGCACACTCATTCTGATGCAGTCCATTATAAGAAGCTACACCTCCACATCTTATTGTCACAGCTCTGCAATACATCATCTGGCTGTGATTTGCTACCTTTCATGAGTAGTAGAGACAGGACTTGGTATCAGATGCCCAGCTTTTCCAACACTGAGCCCATGATATTAACGGCTCAAGACAATTAGCAGGGACTGCAGTAACCACTAATTTTCTACTCTCATCCATTTACCAATTTAATGTAACAAAACAGTCATCAGTAAATGGTTACAGGGAAGGATTCCGATAGAAACTAAGATAACTTTATTTCTATTGTTTATTTGCTGAAGTTTAGAAATGCATTTCCTCAAGGCTGGGCATAGTCGGCTCACACCCATAATTCCAATACTTTGGAAGGCCAGGGTGAGAGGACTGCTTGAGACCAGGAATTCAAGAAATGCATTTCCCCCACAGTTAGAAACAACAATAGAGACTGATCACTGGTTCTGCTTTGGAGCTGATAGATTTAGCCACCTGTCAGCTTTGTCCTTGCATGTCCAGCAGTGTGCTTTTATCCAGCAAATGTGTTTCAAAAACTAGGCACAGCATAAAAACACAGAATCAACAAAGTTTATATTCTAAATATTTGAATATGCTATAAGCAAATCATGCTAAAGAAAAGATGTGTTTACATGCTCTATCCTTTAGTAATCTTATCCTTTTTAATCTTTTTCCTAAGCCTGAAATATATGCATTATTCCCTATTTTACTGGTGAGGAAACTGAGGTTCAGAGTTTTGCATAACTTATCCATTAGCACACAACTAGTTGTTTGCAGCAAGCAGAATTAGGCTTACCCAGTGCAAACAAAAAGCTTTTTAAAATCGTATTGTGGGGTATCATAATTGAAGTTATAAGCCATTGTGAAGACATGGAGCCTTAACATACACTTCTACTCTATGTGCTTGCTGCTGCACATTGTTATATTCCATCATATGCAAAGTTGCCGATGGCAAAAGTTTGAAAGATTTGGATTGCTTCTAACAGTCGACCCAAAAAACAATGACTTAAAATGAGAGATTTTATTTTTCTGTTACATAAAACAAGTCTGAAGGACATTCAGGGCCAGCCTAGTGGCTGCATGGTCATCAGTGACCCAAGCTATTTCTGTCTTTCTGTTTTACTATCCTATTGCAAGATTTCTGTCTTCAAAGTTACCTTTTGGTCCAGAAGGAATTCCAGTAGTTTCAGATAGTGGGCAGGCCAAAGGGCTGCACCTTACAACTGAGTCAGTCCTGTCTAAGCAGAGTGCCACATGGTCATTCCTTTCAGCTTAGCCAGAACTTCTATGGCCACACTATGCAGGCATGTGAAGCTGGGAAATGCAGAAAGAGGGTCACATTGTGCCCCAAATAAAATTGAGTTTCAGATACTGAGAAATATGGAGAATGCATATTGAATGGCAAGTCACTGTTTCTGCCATAGCTAGAAAAAGACTCCTCACAACCTATGTCTTATACCTACCTTCCCAAACCACATAGGCAAACGACGAAAATCCAATCCCAAACCCCTTGTTCTGAGTGAAGCTAGAAAGCAGTTAATGATCTACAGACTACCTCAGGTCCTCCGGCTGCACCTTAAAAGATTCAGGTGAGCTTGCTGTGGGAGTCCCCAGCTGGGTGAGAGCTGTGGGAATAGCTGCTCCAAAGGCTTTGGTGAGGGCGCATGTCTTTTTTGGTGTTGGGAGGGGAAGCCTGTTTGCTTGAGACCTTGTGTTTTCCATGGAGATTAGATCATTCACATCCGCTAAGACAAATTGATGTGAGAACCCAGCAGGACTGGGCTTTTGCTCTCAAGCTCCTGTGTAATTAATTATCCAGCCTCCACTGGGTGTCTGCGCTTAAAGATTTTCTGGCCTGGCTTGGACTTAGGTAGATTCATCTTCAGGATGACGTATAAAATAATCTGGAAAAGAAGGGCAAGCAGGAAACTACAGAAAGACTGTTGCTTGAATTGCTTGTTTAGGGATCTCTAGGTTCAGAGTCCTTCATGGAACATTCATAGCAAAAATGGGCCAGGTGCAGCAGCTCAGGACTGTAACCCTAGCACTTTGGGAGGCCAAGGTAGGCAGATCACTTGAGCTCAGGAGTTTTGAGACCAGCCTAGGCAACATGGTAAAACCCTGTCTCTACAAAAAATACAAAAATTAGCCAGGCATGGTAGTTTGCACTTATAGTCCCCCCTACTTGGGAGGCTGAGGTGGGAGGATCACCTAAGCTCAGGAAGGTTGAGGCTGCAGTAAGCCTTGATCATACCATTGCACTCCAGCCTGGGCAACAGAGTAAGACCCTGTCTGAAAATAAATAAATGTAAACATTGATTATCACCATTTTATTGATGGAAAACCAAGGCCAGAAGGTTAAATTTTCTCAGTTTCCTGTTTCATTAATACCTGCCTCTACCTATGATTGTATATGCCAGTTTTTTACTAGTAACAAGCTTATATCTATGTTCTAGGTGGTCTGGCCGTAATCATCGAGAGAAGATTGGGGTCCATGTCGTCTTTGACCAGGTATTAACCATGGAACCTTACTGCTGCAGGGACATGCTCTCCTCTCTTGACAAAGAGACCTTTGCCTATGATCTCTCCGCAGTGGTCATGCATCACGGGAAAGGGTTTGGCTCAGGACACTACACAGCCTATTGCTACAACACAGAGGGAGGTGCGTGCGCTTTACTCTGTGGGGTGGGGGACACGGAAAGGGGTTGATTTCTCCACATTTTACTGTTTTCCTTTTATTTCCATCCCATGGATTACCTAGAGGGAAATTACATACATCTAAATCCAATGGAAAGAATTATGAAAGTTGGGCCAGGCGCCATGGCTCACACCTGTAATCTCAACGCTTTGGGAGGCTGAGGTGGGTGGATCACTTGAGGTCAAGAGTTTGAGACCAGCCTGGCCAACATGGTAAAACCCTGTCTCTACTAAAATAGTTCAAAAATTAACCGGGCGTGGTGGCAGGCACCGGAAATCCCAGGTACTCAGAAGGCTGAGGCAGGATAATTGCTTGCACCTGGGAGGCAAAGGTTGCAGTGAGCCAAGATTGTGCTACTGCACTCCAGCCTGGGTGACAGAGCGAGACTCTACTGTCCAAAAAAAAAAAGAATTATGAAAGTTGGATTCAAATTTTGGGTATGTCACTAAGTAACAACATATGGTTGTTCTAAGAATTAAAAGGAACTCACACGTAAAAGTGCTTAGAACAGCACCTAGGCCCTGTGCAATGGCTCATGCCTGTAATTCCTCTGCTTTGGGAGGCAGAGGCAGGAGGACTGCTTGAGGCCAAGAGTTCAAGACTAGCCTGGGCAACATGGTGTGCACCTGTGGTCCTAGCTACTTAGGAGGCTGGGGTGAGAGAATTGCTCAAGCCCAGGAGTTTGAAGCTGCAATGAGCTACAATTTCACCACTGCATTCTAGCTTGGGCAACAGAGTGAGATCCTGACTCTTGGAAAAAAAAGCAGTTGCCTAGCACATAGTGCTTATTCAGTCAGTGTTAGAGGATACTGTAGTATTATCAATAGTGCTGGTTATTGATAATATTACTATTGTGGTAATGCTAATTCTGCACACCCCGGTTTCCTTCTTGGTTATGCAGAAATAGTAGTACCTGGGTAACCTCAAGGAGATATTGTATGAATCTCACTAGTCTCAGCTTATAATAAAACTGAAGACATTTACTGAGCACTTACTATGTTCTTACTACTTCCCCTGCCATGGGAAGTATGGGGATGCAAGGGCCCCTCCAAAGGAGCTTTAAGTCCTCATCCTCCAGAGTGGAGTCTCCCAGCTACTGTACTGACTGATGGGCTGCAGATGTGTTTTCAGCTGTTCACTGTTGTTGAACTGCACAGACCTTGGGGCATCCAGAGCCTGTGAACAAATACTTTTTTATTCCTTCTAAATTTTCCTTTATGATTCTCCTCTATATCCATTTCTCCTCTCCTCCTCTTCTTCCTCGTCTCCCCATTGCTTAGCCTGCAGTGTTGCAGCTATCTTTCTAGAACGCCCTAATGGACAATGAAAAAGCCTGAATAAAACAAACATAAAAACGGCAGTCAGCTGATAAGCAGTATTGTGGTGGGGTTTGGTGGGGTTAAAGCCAGTGGATATAGAGAAGTCTGTTGGTTTCATTTACTTGTCCCTTTCCCACCACCAATAATGCAGGGTTGGCTCTATTCAGAACTACTCTGTTCCTTTCTTCATTTCCTGATTTTGCCTGCTGACTAGAAATATGAATTGAGTAGTCATTTCTCTTTTTCTCCGTTGGTTTCCTAGGTTTTTGGGTCCACTGCAATGACTCAAAGCTGAATGTATGCAGTGTCGAGGAAGTATGCAAAACCCAGGCCTACATCCTTTTTTACACTCAAAGAACAGTGCAGGGCAATGCAAGAATCTCAGAAACCCATCTCCAATCTCAGGTGCAGTCCAGCAACAACGATGAAGGCAGACCACAGACATTTTCCTGAAATGGGAGGCATGTATCAAAGACTGGCTTGCTTTTAAACTATTGGTGTCCATACATCTTTCCTCTTATAGGAAATAAGGCTACTGCAGGAACAGATGACTAGGTTTGCCTCACTGAGTCTAGAGTAGAAGGTGCCAGGTGATTCATGTCCTATCATAAATTTTGTAGTCTCTTTCTTTTCAATGAATTTGGGAATTCCCTCTTTCATAAAAATAAATCAAAAGAAGTAACTTCTATGAAGATCATTTCATCAGTTGCTTCTGAATATAGAGGGATCTGGGTGGAGAAGCGGGGAGTAAATCAATCATATCCACACAGGAGAGCAGCCATGTTTTCTCTCCATTATGTGATTCCCCTGCTAATCAGGACCTCCTTGCAGCACCAGAAGAACCCTCTGGATGTGAGCAGCCCTGGACAGAGCACGTGAGGAGGGGCCCTGGGCTAGCAGCTTGCTGGATGAGATTGGCTCCAAGATGGGAGATGAAGTCTAAAGGGTTTATTCCCACAAAGGAAGTAACCCTCAAGGGTTTAAAACAAACTTCCTTTTCAGGGGATAGCAGCTGAAGAGTGGAGTGAGATGCATGGAACAAATTTCCCCATACAAAATGGGATGGTTTTCATACGTCATACCCTCCCTGCCTGCCGCTGTCATTTAATCATTCTATACTTTTGAGACTGGCGTGAATAAATCCCTTCATTCTAAAGAAGGGGCAGTTTATATAAAGAAGCAATAGACTAGCACATGTTGCATGCTGAGCCAAAGGGCACCCCTGGCTATCCCAGTTCTGTAGCAGATCCCTGGTTCAGGTCTAAGGCAAGCACATGGTTTGGCTTAAATTGGTTCTTAGGTTTTCTCACAACTCAGTTGTGGGTGGGCAGAGATAGCTAGTGCTCCAGGGCTTATTGGATGCCTGTCACCTGTTCATTTCAGTGCAGCTTGTGGCTTCTTAGCCTGCAACGTCTTTCATGTTCCTGGAGAGCTAGAACATTCATGTCCACAGGGTTTGGGAGCTTTTGGTTTTCTAGGGTATGGTAACTGCTTAGGAATCCACCCCCTACATATCTGAAGAGTTTATTGCTGATGGCCTTGGCCTGTTTCCTTCCAAATCTTGATAGTCCCTACTGTTGCTTTACCCTCTATACTCAGTCCATAGAGAAAAAAGCAAGAGTGCCCTGTGCTTTCCCCCAGTGATAGTAAAATACACCTTCCTTTTTAAATTGGCTCAGTTTCTAAACAGAATGAAACTGCCCAGATAAAAACCCTTGTCCCCATCAGGCACCACTTCATTCTTAGTTCTTCACTTAGATTTGCCAAACTTTTGTTGCTGTGGTTGCTGCAGTGAGCCTCACTCAACCTGTCACTATGAATGCTCATCTCTTGACTGAGTATATCATATTTCTGTTTGAATTCAGGTAGAACTACACTTGTCACTTGAAGGGAGTAGATGTGGAAGGGAGTTTGGGGAAGGGTGGGAAGTGGGGAAAGCAAGGCTAAAGAATGAGGGTTATAGCTTTAGCAATGTTGATGAGCCACATTTCCCACACAGATCTGTAGCATTTGCTGTTGACCTCTTTTGAAATGAACTCTCCCATAGGCCCTGCCAGGCAGCACTGAGACATGGAGGAAATTCAGACAAAAAAAAGGCTCACCCTGATAGGGAAGGAGTGGTTATATTTTAAATTACACTTGCTTTTTCCAACACTGTGAGGTTTCTGTAATATTTAGCTTTTATTTGGAAGCGATAGCGTATGGCATTTTTTTATGCTATTTGGTTTATATTGTCTACTGCAGGCTTCTTTGTATAAGCTTTGCCTGGGCTCACCCTCTCCTGGACACTGTTTTAAAGTGTCAGCACTGTCCATGCTGCCTGAGGCTCTGATGTGAAGCTGTACTCTCAAGATCCACAGTTTTAAGTCAGTATGATTAGTAATGATTTTTTGTTGCAATAGAAAAGCCCATTAACTCAAAAACACCAAGGAGAGTAAAAAGGAAAGGAAACTATGAATTGTGCCTCATCTTTCATTGAATCCTATATTTATTATTCTAGAAAAAGAGAACTTACAAGATAGAGAAGAACTATAGAGCATCTACTTTACCCCTCAGGCTGTCCAGTGGGGATAATTATTAATAAACATTTAATGGAAAATTCAAAGATCTTCCAATTTAATTTTTAAAGTTTTATACCAAATATTATAAGGATTTATTAAGCAGATTAAGGACTTTGTGAAATAAGTGCTTAACTTAGTTGAGCACATATATATCAAAGTAATAAAAGAAACTAACATCAGAGTCTCCACTGAGCTACACATTTGTGAAAGGTGCCCACTGCAGTTACAGACACCTCAGGTACCCAGAGGCAGCAGCACTAGACCCTTAAAGAAGTTAGTATTAAGGAGATTTCTATTAAAGAAGAATTCCCTGCTGCATAAGCCAATGGCTATTGTGAGGGAAATGTCCCTTTGCCTTTAATTTATTTACATATTGGGTATAGATGAATGTCTCAGTTGCATCTTAAATCAAATTGAATCATTCTAAAGAGAAGAAAAGAAGAACCAGGTAAAAGCTGACTAGATGCTGCTGCCAAATCAAACCCAAGGTCTCCTAACCGAACCTTAATGGGCCCACTTCTCTCCCAGGGCAAGTAGTTGAGTCTTGTTCCAGGAACCCTTTGTAGTTAGTTGGCTGGCATGTTTACTTGCTGCTGTAGCCAGCCAAGATGAGTGCACCTAGGCCCTCAAAAAGGATTTTTTTTTTACCTCAATCTAGCCTGACCCTCATATTTGTGGTTGCCTCTGAGACGAACATCCATGCTAGTGTAAAAATAATTAGGAATGGCCTTGGTAGCCAGGAACTGAAGCTCTTATTACATGGTGGACAGAGCTCTTGCCAGCTTTGATCCAGCCCCTCAGTCTTGGAGTTACGGGGCAGGATTGGGGGGCAGTGCTACACTGTAAAGAATTTCCAGATGTTTCTTAAAATGTCATGAATAAAATTGGAAACTGTAGAATTGTTAATGTGTCCTATGGACTCAATAGCAGAGTTTATTTTTGTTTTTAATGGCAAAGCTTCTAGAGTCAATGATTGTATGAGTTTGCTACTCTGGCTATGCTTACAGCTCCATCCAAGTACAAGGGAAGAACCAATGAGGTGGACTCGCTGGCAGTGGGGCATGCCCCAGCATAAGTCCTAGAGATGTTGACAGTAGTGCAGAATGAACACTTGGTTGGGGATGGTGGGTGGGGGGTGGGAGTTGGGTGGGTGGGCTGGGAGGGATAAATGGAGTTTGTTTTACTTACTGATAAAGCTTTGTGAACTAATTTTATACAATTCATAAAATTTGGTGCCTTGTACTCGATTATGGTTTGCATGGAATTGAAGATTAAGGGAAAGGATTTCTTCTTACCATTTCAAGTGGCAAATGGGTCTGTGTAGTGTTTAAAGGACATCTGCTATCACAGACTTTAAAAAGCATTTCATATCTCTTGTGTGTGAATGCCAATTATTCTTACCAGCAAGTTCTGCAATTTTGTTGTAATGTCCATATTCTTTGTATTTTCAAAGCAGACTGTGTACCCCATTGTTTTTCACTACCTTCATCATATTCCATATGTTAACTTGGGCCTTTTCAAATCAGGCTGGGGGCCTACTCAGATAGGGATATAGTATACTTTTTTTTAAAAAAAGAGAAAAAAATAAATGAAATCTTACTCAAACCATCATTATGGCTTTAAAACCCAACCAGCAACTTGAAGCCAAAACAGTAAATTTTGAATGAAATTTTAATTATGCTTTTGGAAGCTGCCGTAATTCTTGCTGGATTTTGATTTTCAATTTTGGAAATTTTTATCACATAAAACTGTTCAGTCATTAGATTAGGTAGCAGACTTTAAGGATCTACGTTTCATTCCTATAAAAAACAGGACGTACTGGTATTTCTTGTCTTAGCAAGTAGTCTGATGCAGGTCTAAATAGGTTTAGCATCTATACTACGGCTTAAAAGATTCCTCCTTTGTCACTATTTGGGAGGTGATGGCTTCAAAGCTAAGCTTTGCTTTCATGTGACCCTTCTTCATCTTAATAACCAGTAAGATATAAATCTCTCAGAGTCTACCCAGTGTAGACTCAAATGGTCTTGGCTTCATCTATCAGGTAAGATCTAGCTGATTTATACAAGAGAATGGTGCTTTTGAAAATATACATACTTTAAAATCTAATTCTCAAGGAATTTTCTTAGTATTTATGCTGGCAAAGTCAAGAAAGACTATTTTGTCCTGCTTATATTTAGTAGTGAACAAACTGCTAGAGACATCTGTCAGTCTTGACAGGCCACTGTGGTCCATATATACTGCCTCCTTTCCAATTAATGTCCTAGTTCCATAGGAGACTTGGCACATGAAAGCACTGTTTTTCTTTAATGCCTAGTAAACTGACCGGCAAAAAATATTGCCTTGGGGGACCTGTTTCTATCCACCTCTTTCTGTGGCTACACAAGTTCACATGCCAGTTCCATACATATTCCATTTCCAAAGAGCCCCCAAACCCTGGACAGTAGCACTATCATGAATTTTAGGGTAACAAAACATGTTTCCTTCTGAAGGAAGCAGCTTCCTCAGCAGCGCCACTTTAGTGCCCACTGCCCAGGCTTACTTCACTGTGCTCCCACCCCCACACATCACTGCCCTCTTTCTGCCACCAAACCTCGCTTTTCCAGCAACAATGCCTCCCTGGTGCCTGGAAAACCCACCTGGTGCACTAAAATGCTATGCAACACCAAATGGCTTCTTCCCCTAATATTGCTCAACAATATAAATTCTTCAAGAATAAATTTCATGCTATGTTAACATCAATGTATGGTTACAGTTTCCTTTTTTTTTTTTTTTTTTTACCTTTTAAAATGAAGCAAACCACCTCCATTAAAATCCATGTTTGGGACTTGTTTTTGTCTCTCAAGTGTGAAATATAAATCATGTTTCTATGATTTTTGTAAATCTTGACTTTTTACACCTTGTTTTTGTAAGCAGAAGTTTCTTATTAAAAGAATAAAATGACTGTCTTTATGTGCAGTATTTATTTCAAATGTCTGTTAAAACAGCATTGTTATTTATCAGGACAAGAACAAAGATCACCCCCTGGAGAAGCTTAGGAACTTTGTACAGAACTTTACAGAACAGAGGCAATACTTTAGCTTAAACTTGTCTGCTGACCAGAGAATGGAATTCTGCGTGGACTCAAGGAACAAAAGGAAACTAGGCAGGGATAAGAGAAGGAAAGTGCCCATCTGAATCAAACTTCAGCTGCCATCAGGGCACATCTTGTGATGGTCACAGACTGTAGGCTGTTTTTTGGAAGGTTCAGGTTCAGCACAGGATTCCATTTGTCTGCAATCAGATGATAAGACAACGTGTGGCATTAGAAATGTAGAACTATGGGAGGGAAATTGGTAAGAGATACTTAAATCCCTTCCAACATCTGAAAACACATTTAACTAGGAATAATCAAGGGTTTTACATCACATTCTGTTGTACATTTCGTGAACAGCTGTCAGAAAACATTGCTTCTCCCAGCCTCTAGGTCTCGTAAGACACGCAGGGGTGTGGTTCAGTTCTTACCTATTTGGCTACACCCCTGGCTGAGGTGCCATGAGGTCAATGTCACTCAAGTTCCTGGCCAGCCAAACTCCCGCAGCAAAGAGTCCCAAATTGAGAATCAAGTTCCTGGAAAAACAATGTGTTTTATTAGCCCTGTGGTCAGAGTCACTCGTAAGGTTAACGAAAAGTACTAGGGGAAAAGGCTTCCAATCACCACCACCTTCCCGAGGCGTTGATACGTGGTTGTGACATCGTGGATTGCTGAAGACCCACGTGGGAATTTGGAGTTCATTTCTGTGCCTAATAAATGTAAGATCAAACGCAAAGCCCTACTGAAGCACTCGTCCAGGGCCGAAAAAGCCTGTTTACGTGCTGGCACCTCTCCCCTTGATCAGGGTGACGTTACAGGTACAGCCATAGGACAGAAAGATTGCTTTTGCCACAAGGAAACTCTCTTGGTCAAGGACCTCAGTGAGACAGCTAGAGCTACGAAAAAGCCACAATGCCAGCAATGTTAAAAAAACAAACAAACAAACAAAAACGCACACACACAAAACCAAAAAACCCTGAGGCGTCAGCCCCGCGAGGAAGGGAAAATACGGACGTAAGGGCCAGAGAAGGACCAAGTTCTCCGGGTTCGGTTACCTCCGAAAGTCATTCCTATCCGTGGCAAAGCGGTAGACGCCCCGAAGCCAATCTCCCACGTTGTCCGGTATTTCGGGGGTTTCATTAGCCGAGCCGGCAGTGTTCACCGGCACCCCGCTGGAAGCCATAATAGGAAGCTTCGCACGAACCTCGTTGGAGGAACCGTATTGGCGTCGCCGGAGGATGACGCACCTCCGGTCTGGCACTTCCGATAGCCACCGGCCGGCAGGGGACGCTGTTCGCTTAGTCCGACAGCGGAAGAGAGGGACAGCCCCCTACTGCGTGTCCACCAACTCTCCGAGGCGAGGAGCGCGACCCAGCTCTACGGTCCCCTGCTCCCCGTCCCACCTCCGGCTCTCCAGCCGGTAACCGTCACGCGTGCTGTGATCATTTAATTGGCTCGGGAGGAGGATGGTGGGGACAGGGCTGTCCCAGCCTGTGGAGGTGGGGGTGGGGGCTATCTCAGCAAGGGAAGCGTAGCTTTGGACAATGGGTTTTGCCAAAAAGGTCTCCACCAGAAGTCCTAGAACACGCAGTGCTGAAGGGGGTGCACTCCAAATTTGTCACCTCGCCGCCTCTCGCGGGCGTGCGCATGACTGCGTCTCAGTCTAGGATTTTTCTAGGGGGAGGATAGCCTTGTTCTCCCGCTCTACAGACCTCTTTCCCCCCATTCACACCCCCTTCTCTGAGCTGCGCCTCTAGCACACGGTGCAGTGCTTCTTAGAGGCGTTGCTATCCTCTGCTTGGAGGCTTCCGGGGGTCTTCCAGGACAGGGGAAGGCGCTCGCCTAAGAAAAAGCCTTCAGGTTCCGAGTCAGAGGAAGAGGAGTAGGTGGGGAAAGGAGTGTCCTTGGGATGACGAGGAGTTTTCAGGCGGCATTGCTCCTGCCCTTTGGGTGCCTCCGCTTTGTCCCCAGGTCGGCTCTCCTGCTGGGGACTGGATCCAGGCAGCCCCGTCCGAGTTTGCAGGCTGGAACAGCCGGCAGCAGCGAGGAGTGTTCGGGAGAGGGTCACAGAGTTCAGCGAGGTTTGGTCCCTTCCTTCAGTTCGGTCGGGTCCAGTCTCCCCTGTTCCTGGCCGGATCGGAAACGCTGGTCTCAGAGCGCGGAATCTCCCTCCCAGAGTCTGGCTAGACCATCACCGCAGCTAGCCGGGGTGAGGCCCAGCCTCCCGCCCCTCCCCGCCCCGCCCCTAGGCCGTGCGCGCCGCCGCCGAGAGTCCTCTCCTGGGTCCCCCGCCTCCACCCACCAGAGGGCGGCCGCGTCCCGTGCCTGGGAGGGAGTGCGGCGCCGCAAGCCCGACCGCGGTGCGGGGTGGGTTCGAGAGGCCCTTGGAACGCTCCAGCCAGGGACGCGCGGTGAGAGCTGCGGGCCCCAAGGCTCGGGTATGGGGGGTGCGGTGGGGGGCCGCGAGCGCTGCTGTAGGAACGGGACGGCGTGGGACTGGGGCAAGGGTCCCAGCCCGGGAGAACCCCCGCAGCCCAGCCCAAGCCCCCTCCCGCTTTGACCTGCATCCTCTCCCTTACCAAGGAACGCCTGCCCTTCCAGTGTCCCGGCCGAGCTCCAGCCTGCATCCGAGTAGCGGTTTTCGAAGCAGCTGGGGCAGCAGGGGCTTCCCCCAGGCAAGGCATAACGTCCCCCGCCCAGGGGCCCGGCGCAGTCCTGGCAACAGAAGTGGTTCTCATGCCAGTGCCGTCCCTCTGCCTCGGTGCAGTGCCGAGAGAAGATCAGCTGGGAGAGGGAGAGGGGAACGGTTCATTCATTCATTCATTCATTCACTCATTCATTCATCTGGTAACCACGCCTTTTACCCAGTTAACGCTAAAGCACGTCTACATACATTCCCATTCGATCCACTCAGCCACTCTTGGACGCAGGGAGGACTGATTGGCTTAGCCAGGATCCCAGCTAGCAAGTGGCACAATCCAAAGTTCGACCTGGGGGTCTGGACTCCCAACCCAGGGCTCCAGGCTTCCTTTTATGCTGACATTAAGGGAATTTCTAGCATGATGAGGCACAGCACTGGGCACTTGGCATAGAGCATCTGTCCAAGAGTCCCTGCTGTAGAGAAATCGCTGAGTCCAAGAACATTTGAGGGACTCCGATTGCAATGGGGGCACGAGAAAGACCGTGGGCCCTACGTGCTCAGAACTCAAGTCAAAACACAGGGAATTTGGTAGTCCCACGCTGGTTACTAGTTCTCCCCGCTCCCTGATACTGGGAGAACCTGCGGCCCAGGAGAGTGTCCCTTGGTATCCTGCCACTCTGGACCCTGGGGAGACCCCCAGTTCTTCCCCTCCAGGCTGTACCTGGTCACAAGCCGGGCAGCGTGGGCGCAGCAACTCTGCATGATGACGGCCGCAGTAGAGTTGCCCATCATGGTAGAAATAGATGAGGTTTATCAGGGCCTGGCCACAGGCCTGGCAGGCAAAGCAGGGCTGGTGCCAGCAGCGCTGTTCCCCTGCCCGGGTTGCAAACACTCCATACTCCCCTGGCTTCAGCAGCTCCCTGCACTGTGGGAGGGGAGGTGCTGAGGTGGTCGGAGTAGGCACTACCCACCTAACTTCCCTCCTTGCTCTTCTAATCCAATCCCAACCTGTTCTCACCATACCCTCGCAAGCCCACATCCACTGCAGCCTATACCAAGAGCTCCCAAACTTGGTTTCTGTTTTTCCTGTTTCCCAACCAGAGTCCCAGAAGCTAGCCCCTTCTGCAGAAATAAGAGGGCAAAGAGTGGAGGAAGGAGAACTTGAGGAGAGGGGTACCACATACCTTCTCACAGGTGTGTCCTTTAAGCTTGGGAAGTAGCAGGCGGGCCACCCCCTGTCCGAGGGCCTCCTGCTTCCGCCTGGCACAGAAGAGCCGCAGCTCGGCCAGCTCCTCCTCCCCAAGGGCCAGGCAGCAGCGCTCCTGCAGAAACAGTCCTCTGCAATGACTGGGAGAGCCCCAGCAGGCAAGATGGAGCATTGGTTGGAGGAAAAAAGACTTGGCTGCTAGGTCAGAGGGGTTGTAGAACCTCAGGGAGATGCCAGAGATAGTGGCATAGAAGGGCAAATAGAAGAAGGAAAGGAGCTCATGAAAGGCCACCTCAGTCTCCCCCTGTCCCCCCAGGAATGGTCATTAATCAGGTCCTGACAGGCCCGAAGCACATAGCCCTGTCACCATTAGGTCTTTGCTCCCGATGAGCTAGAGCTCAGTATCAGTTCCCATGCTTACATTTCCTCAAATTATTTCATATATTCCTGTCTTGCCTCCCCGATTGAATTGTAAGCCTTTAGGCTGGGCACATGTAGAGCTTCAATAAATACGTAACAACCATACTCTCTACATTGTACATTCCATTATCCGTTTCAAAAGTTTTTCATGTCCATTTTGTCATTCGCTCTTGAATGAAGCATTGTGGTGGGCAGAGATGTTATTGCACCCGCTATTGCTATTGTTATGGCCAATGTGAAAACTCAGGGAGTGAATCACCCCCCAACCAGTGGCACAGCTGGGCCTTAAATCTATATCCCCAACTTCTGGACTGATGTTCTTCCCACAGGAAGAAAAGGGAGGGGGAGGAGGAGGCAAGAGAGGGAAGATGGGGAGAGGAGACCCACATCAATGTCCTGTGGAGGGAGTTGCTGCAGGAGGGTCTGAAGCCCAGTCCAGTTGGGGGCTTGGTTGGTGTCCAGGCAAAGGGAGCCCAGGCTCAGAACTGCAGGACCCTGAGGAGACATGGAAGAAGGGGAAGAGTGAAACTAGGGTTTTCTTTCCTTTCTCCGTCTTCCCCCCTTGTCATTGCCACCTATTCTCCAATCTAGAGCAGCTTCTAAGCATGCCCTCCATTTGGGAGGATCCTCCTTCCAGATTCTCACTGAGCGCAAGGATAGCCTTGGATGCCTGCATCTGTGGTCTTCCTTGAGGGAGGCTGAGGAGGCCCCACACCCCAAAACAGCTTCTCTTCTTAGGCTTAACCCGCCCCCCTTTCACTCCTTGAGGCCAAAGCTCCTAGAGTCTGCTTTGACAACACAGACCCACTAGGAGAGGTAATGAATATTAATGTGAATGAGTTTAAAGTTAAAACCCCCTGTTCTAAGCAGGTGCAGAGACAGGAATTCCTGAAAAGAAAAAAGGCAACAAAAGATTAGGCACCAAGTCAAACTACCTCAGGGTTGGTGGAAAAGGGGAGCACTCCACAGGATAGAGGTCATGTTGGTCTCAGGAAGGGCACAACTCTACTACCTGAGCAGAGGTATCCTCAGGGTCCCCGCCCGGCAGGTAGCCTGAGTCACCGTCTGAGTTGGCTGGTGGACCTGGCTCCTGGAGGTTGGGGCTGTCTTCTTGGCGGGGCCATCCAGAGTTCTGCACTGACATTGGTGGCAAAGCCTACCCCAAAACAATAAGAACCCCTCCATGGATTAGGTCGTTACAATATACTAGGAAGTGTTGAACCCCTCCATGGATTAGGACGTTACAATATACTAGGAAGTGTTGAACCCCTCCATGGATTAGGTCGTTACAATATACTCGGAAGTGTTAAGTGCTTTATAGATACTATTTCCCTCAATCCTCCCAACACCCAGTGACTTAGGTCGCACTGTCCCCATCTTACAGATGGCCCAACTGCGGATCAGAGCATGAGTAGCATGCCCAAGGTCAAACAGCTAGTAAGTGGCAGAGCCAGGTCTTGAGGTCAGGCCTTTTGGCTCCAGAATTTCTGAAGTTCAAATTCTGGGGTCTCCCAAGATTGGGATGGAGGTAAGAGGAGGACAGTAGAAGGAGAGGGCACTTTGCCTGCCTTTCTGGTGGGACTTTAGACAGGCTGGCCCTTCTTTCCTCACCTCATCAGCCTTAACTCCCACCATCTCTCACCGTGCACCCACAGCCCCAATGAGCCTCCTTCTCTACAACTTCCTACATGGACCCAGTTTTTCCAGCTATATAGGCTTGGGCCTGGTTAAAGGATCCCCTTATCAGGAAGCCCTTCTCAGCTTCTGTGACCATACCTTTCCTGAGCTCCTGAAGCAAGCAGTGCCCCAAGATTTAGCACCTAATGTTTTTCTCTGCTCCCTGCCTCTCTCTCTACTCCTAATCTAGTCTATAAGTTGCTCAAGGTCAGAGGAACACCTTGCACTTTTATCTATAGCAGCAATTGCACTGGATAATCTAAGTGCATCTCTTCACCTTTCTCTTGGCAAGTCCTGATATGACCACAATATCTTGGGGGTAAGAAGTGACTATTAATGTAGAGAAGGGCTGAGCCCTGAGTCCTGCCCTCAAGGAGCTCCTAGTAAGTAAGACAGAGATGAAACCAAGTAGCATGGGACCAGAGCTTCAGGCAGATATACACAAACTCCAGGGCGGGGTGGGGGGCGGGGGGCGGGCGGGGAAGGGGAATAACCAGAGCAAACATTTATACTATTTACTCTGTGCCAAGGACTCTTCTAGAATATTATATAATATAGTCTATCCTCACAATAATCTTATGAGGTAATCTCTTTTAGTGCTCTTGACAGTTGAAACAAATTAACTAACTTGCCCAAGATCACACCTAAGGCTTAAGGGAAGCCTTAAGGGGAGCTGGCCTCTGAGAGCTGGGATAGATGCTGAAAGTAGTTGGGCACAGGAGGGTCATCATCAAATCCCCGCCCTCTGTAAGACTCAGAGATGAAACCAAGTAGCATGGGACCAGACTCAGTATTGGGGTTAAGGTGAGGGTTTGGACCTTCAGAGTTAATATTGCTTCCCATCACTGAACCCTCCTCAGCACCGTCCCCCAACCCCCAACTTCAAATGTCCTGTGCCACCCTTTCCTCCTTCCTGGCTTCACACCCACCTGCTTCCTTCCTCTTCTCTCTCAGGTCAGGTTTCCTGTGGAAGGCGGCCAGGATGGGCTGTTCACACCAGGAGTAGCTACTTCGCCTGACAGCACTGCCCCTGCTCCAGGCAGCAAGAAAGGAGGGGGTATCTGGGGCCCCAGAAGGGGACTTGCAGCCTCTTTCATTTTAGCTCTAGTTTGCATGGAATTGTCCAACACTGAAACAACGCTCAGAAATCAGGCCTCTACTCCTCACCTTTCCATCTCCCCAAAGGCCGCCAAACTCCACCTCCACCTAGCACTGGATTCTTTCCATAATTCCCTTCCTCCTCCCATTTCAGATAAGGGACGGAACTGAACCCCTTGTCCTGCCTCCGCGCAGGTACAAGAGAGCTCAGGAGCTGGACATCCCCAACCCCCACTGCCCTGAAGGGAGGGCCTGAGAGGCCTTAGGGCTTGGGAAGGTGGAGGAATGGGAAGATTTCTGAGGACAATGGGAGGGAGAAGGAAGGAGAGTGCTCAGTCCTGCCAAGTGCCCTCTCGATAGATGCCCAGAGTTTTTCTGGAACTTGGCGGGCCCACCTCTGGGACTACAACGCGGTGTGTTTCCCGAGTCCGCTGGTGTTCGCAGCCTGGCTGCTGGGATTTTAGGGGAGGGGACGAGGACTCCGCTGGGGTCTCACCCTCGCCGTGCGCCGCGTTCCGGGCAGTTCTGGACCGACTCTGCTTTCGGGCCCCTTACCCGGTCCCCACCCCAACGCCTCAGCGCCCGCCCCCGTCCGCCACAATAGTGCTGCCCTTCCTCTCCCACGCCCCAGCGGCCCCTGCCGCTCCCCCGCCCGGTCCCCGGCTGCTGGAGAGGGGCGGCTCAGGGAGGGGCCAGGAGCTGCAGGCTGGAGAAAACACACACACACACACACACACACACACACACACACACACACACACGTGGGATCTCTTGGAGCTGCAGGGAGGGGCCTGAGCTGCAGATTGGAACACACGCGCGCGCGCGCGCACACACACACACACACACACATATGTGGAATTTCAGGGTGGGAATGTGCGGGCTCCACGGCCTCCGCCATGCAGGTGCAGGGGCTTCAGGCCCGGACTGCGCCCGGTGGGTTCCAGCAGACGCCGGGAGCCACGTTTACACTGGGTTCTTAACCACTAGCTGAATGGAAACGCCTCGCCGGGCCTGCAGCTCTGTCTCTCCGCAGTTCCCAGGTCCCCACAAACTCTTCCTCTGGTCTCGCAGCCTCGCCCTTCCGCGTATTTCCCTTCACTTCTCTCTCCCTTGTCCCCAGTGGTCCCCCTGGTCCCTTCTCCTCAACCCTCATCTGGGGTCCCTTGGCCTGCCCTTCTCCCTTCAGGTCTCTTCAGACCCTTTCCCCTTCCCTTCGTTTTTCGCCCAACCCTCCTTCCCTGTTCCGATCCCCGGAGCACCCCCAACTTTGGTTCCCCCAGCACCGCATCTGCGCCCCGCCCCTGGCGCAGGCTCCGCCCCCGGCGCAGGCTCCGCCCTGTCCCCGCCGGGCTTGCTCAGTCCATGACCAGCAGCGCCCTCTGGTGTCTGCGCATGCTCCCTGCTCCCGACAGCAAAGTCCTCCAAAGGGACCTTCTAGGCTGCGCGCCGGTCACCCCAGCTCGGGTCCGCCCGCCTGCAGCGTCTCGTTGGTGCTGCCAGTGACCTCCGACCCCGCGGCGGCGGGGCAGGGCGGGGCGGGGAGGCCTTAGCTCCAGGCGGGCGGCGGCTGCTGCAGCGGGACCCGGGAGCGGGGCCCGGCGCCGCTTGGGCCGCGGGGCGATGTGAGTTGGGGCGCGGCGGGGCGGGGACGAAGCGGCTTCACGGAGGCCGCGTCGCGCCGCGCCGCAGTCTCCACTCCCTCCCTAGGAAGCCCCCGGCGGGCGGGTGGCGGAGCACCGGGGCTGGGGGCGGGGATCCGGGGGCAGCGCGCACCCAGACCTCCCCATTCCTTACGGGCGTCTAGAAATTCTCCTTGGCAGTCCTGCAGCCTGTCCTGCAGCCTCTGGCTCTCCAAACCCTACCTCAACCCTCTCCACCCTGGACACACCATCGCGTCTCCGGAAACCCTCAGAACCCCCTCACTCATTCAACAGAATCTCCTGCTATGCCCACAGACCCACCATTCTCTTGGATGCCCCCAAATGCTTCCACTGCCTGGAAATTCCTAGAATTCCTCATATTCCCACTCCTTGCACTATCCAAAATGCCCACATCCAAAATTCGTGCTCGTGTTTCCCAAAACAACCTCATACGTTTTCAGCCCCAACACCCTCTCTAACTCCTGCCCCTGATCCATACCTATCCTAGACCAGAGCCCTCTCCGCCTTTCCACCCAATGCAGTCCTTCCTCAGTGGGCTGATACGTCCTCATATCTTAAAGAGAAGAGATGGTGTTAGGGAAATCCGTCGCCCATCTTGCACCCTAGAGTGCTTGGTTTCACTGCCCCCGCCCCTGCCCCCGTCGGTGGCTCCAGCCCCAGAACTTTCCGGGTGACCTGTCTTTAGTCTGTGCACACCTCCCTGAGCCTGCTTCTTCGAAAGAATAAGCCAGACAGACGAAGGGGATGGGGTCCTTTTACCTGGAAGTTGTCCAAAGATGCAGGGTGCAAGGGGCCCTGGGAAGTATTGTTTCTCCAGAGCGGGAATGTGGATGTCCAGGGTCTGCAGAGTCCTGGCTTGTCGACTTGTCTACCTTGGGATCAGATGCCCTGAAATTTTGGCTACTGTTAATATTTATGTTAAAATTAGGCCTTTTAGAACTTGGGGAGCAGAAAATCTATCAAGTTTCCAAATTCGAAATTGATTCAGCCTGTCCTGAAAGAGGAGCATGTCCATTTTAGTGATGTTTGTCTTACATTTTTGCCTCTGGAAGTTATTTAGGTTAGAAGCTCTACAGTTTTTAGATGGTTGCCCCCAAAACTAAGGCCTTGGCTGGGAGTTGGGGGAGTGTTGACCTAAGTCTCCCAGATACTTAATAGCAACAAAACTGACCAGAATATTGGTTTCCTGAATCTTAAACCAGTGCTCTTTCTACTATATCACAGTGTTCTTTTGAGAAAGCTCTTTGTGGAGTTAAAGTTCTCTGCAAAGGTAAGGTGGTGGTTTTGGCGTTTGTTGTAACAGGACTCAAAGGGAGATCTAAAGTGACTTACAGGGCCTTGGGTCGCCTTAGACTTCAAACTCATTGATGCTCTGTTGAGTCTGTACCTTTCAGGGTCCATGGGGCTTGGAATTTGTGCTCTCTTTGCCCTGATTTTACTTCCTTCATTGGTGTTTTTGTCCCATTAGGGCTGGAACAGATATCCAGGTAGGATGAACTGCCAGGTCAGTTTCATTAATAGTTGTGGGTGAAGATAGGTTTCTATTAACCAGTGTCTCTGTTTCCTGTGCTAGGTGAGCTCCAGGTGTATCCCAGAGGGATCCAGGTGAACTTCTCTGCAGACTGTTTGCCATGACAGCCCACCAAGGACGGGGGGAATAAAGTGGGAATCCTTCCCCATGCCCCTCCCATGGTCAGCTCCCCGATGGCCTGGGTGAGGTAAGAGCTGTGTATAGGAGTCAGTTTTATGGTGTTTCCCAAGTGGGGACAAACAGAGGGTACAGGTCACCTGGTTGTTTAAGGCTTTATCATTCAGCAGGAGTTCCAAAAGGATAGCAAATCCTATAGACTCATTTTTTGCAACAAGTTGCCACCCCTTAAAACTTCTGCTCGATATTGGTCCATGCATTTCTTGTTCTCTTCCATCATGCAAGCCTGAGTGGTGTCCTCTTCATTCTAGGCACAGCCCTGACTACTGTGATGTAAAATCCAAGTACCAGAATCCTGGAGGGAAGAGCCAAATAGTAAGGCCTCTGGTCTCCCCTTCAGACAAAGGGAAGCAAGCCCAGCATCTTATCCAATTGAGGTTATTAAAGTTGTGCACTCTTTTAAATGTTCGGTCTTCTGAATATATCTTTATGATCACAGTGTAACAACTCATTTGAAGAGGACACCAAAGATAAATTTGCCCTGGATATTGGGATGTTGGTAAGGGAGGAGAGAGAACTTGGATGATGTGGAATGGATGAGGTAAAAAGGGAGGAAAAAAGAGACAGGTATAGGCCAAAGTGTCTGAGACCCCCCAAGTGACCGTTTCTTTGCTGAATCCAAATAAGGGAGATGGGATGGCACCCACCTCCATCTGCTGCAGATCACTTCTTCTGGGCCTCTACTTTTCTTCCTGCGTATGTCCCTCCCTTCCTTGTCATTACATGGGTCAGAATCCTACGTACTTCTCAAGGTCCAGATCAAATGTTACCTCTGAAAAGCCCTCTCCAGCCCCCCATCAGCATTCATCCTTGACATATTCTAACTTGGATTAATGTTTATCCAGTGTGTGTCTGGTCCTGGATTGAGAGTGTGAAGTCCTTGAGGGAGGGTCTGTGTCACACAGTCTCTTGGACAGAGTGGATGATCACAGTGAGGTGCTTCTGCCTGAGTTCCCAGAGCAGGGTTTTTTGAATCAGAAGTTAGTGACCTGCATATCCCTTATGTTTTTCCTAGGGCAGGCTGGCTCCTCTGACACCATGGGGAGCTGCTGCAGCTGCCTGAACAGAGACAGTGTTCCGGACAACCACCCCACCAAGTTCAAGGTACCCAGATCCCTCTCCTCTCCTGCATTCCCAACATGGCCTCTTGGATGCAGACACAGTTTAACGGAGTTGCCTCAGCCTCTCTAACAGTAAATGAAATGCTAGGCCGAGGTTGTAGGCTTTTGGAGACTTCTTGAGCTCATGCCCTCTCAAGTCACCTGAGGAAAAGAGGCCCAGACCACTGCTGTTTTCATGGCTCTTGATATTACCAAGAATGAAGAAATGCCGTAATGGTGCTTTTGGAAATGTCAGTGTATTTTTAGAACTTTATATATCCCTTTTATTGATAGAAAACAAAAGTCTGTATTTGTGAGTTAATATATGTAAAGTATTTAAAGTAGTGCTTAGTGGCCAGGTGCGGTGGCTCACACCTGTAATCCCAGCACTTTGGGAGGCCGAGGCGGGCAGATTGCCTGAGGTCAGGGGTTCAAGACCAGCCTGACCAATATGGTGAAACCCCGTCTCTGCTAAAAATATAAAAATTAAGCCGGGCGCGGTGGCTCAAGCCTGTAATCCCAGCACTTTGGGAGGCCGAGGCGGGTGGATCACGAGGTCAAGAGATCGAGACCATCCTGGTCAACATGGTGAAACCCCATCTCTACTAAAAATACAAAAAAAAACTTAGCTGGCATGGTGGCGCGTGTCTGTAATCCCAGCTACTCAGGAGGCTGAGGCAGGAGAATTGCCTGAACCCAGGAGGCAGAGGTTGCGGTGAGCCGAGATTGCGCCATTGCACTCCAGCCTGGGTAACAAGAGCGAAACTCCGTCTCAAAAAAAAAAAAAAAATATATATATATATATATATGTGTGTATATATATATACGTGTATATATATATATACATATATATATGTGTATATATATATATATACATATATATATATATATAAATTAGCCCAGTGTGGTGGCACACGCCTGTAATCCTAGCTACTTGGGAGGCTGAGGCAGGAGAATCACTTGAACCCTGGAGATGGAGGTTGCATTGAACCAAGATTGTACCACTGCACTCCAGCCTGGGTGACAGAGCGAGAGCCTGTCTCAAAAAATAAAAATAAAAATAATAAATAAATAAAAATAAAATAGTGCTTAGCACACGGTAAGCATGACATCAGTATTTGCTGTTTGCTCTGGGGAGCTGAGGGTGGACCCAGTGGACCTGTGCCCTCCCCCGCCCCACCTCTCTGTGGAGGGAGCCGCCTCCTCCCTCCTCAGTCTGGGGCATGTGGAAGCACATTTCTCCTGTCCACCAGAAGAGGGAGCCCTCAGCAAGGACATACTGTTGGGGTAGTGG